GAATATGAATATGAATATCCCCTCCATGAATATGAATATGAATATCCCCTCCATATTACTGCTTGATTAGGACACATCCAGGGTAGCAGGAGTCCTCATATACATTTTCACAACTATGTAACAGCACTGAATGACACAAGAAATCTGAAATACATTAAAATGCACAAGTGCCTATATTGTGATTTACATTATGAAACTGAAATTTGGAATTTTCCTGTCTTTAAAGGAAATATCCTAATAGTTAAAGCTTTTCTCTTCTTGTGCACCACTTACATCTCACCTTTTGTTAGGAGTTCTGACTGATGGCAAAAGAAAGAACCTTTAAAAAAAAACCCTTTTCTTTGCAAATATTACTGAGAAGGTACACACACATGAACATTTGAAGATTCAGTGTAAATTTAAAATCCTTCAAATAGCTTAATATCAAGGCCCTGCTCCAGGTAGCAGACACAAAAGCAGGCAGGAGTCAAACCAGAATTTGTTTAGAATACAAATGGACAACCAACCAAGGGCAAGATCCAGCCTGCAAAGCAGGCTTTTGTCAAGCCACCAGCAATGCCTGCTAGCCAACTACTGGACAAGCCAAGTCCAGCCCATCAGCCATCTAAACTGTGGATGCTGTTGGGAAAGGAAAGAAAGTGAACACGAGTTTGGTAGACAAGGGTAACTACTTAATTAGCATTAAATTCAGCCCACTTTCCTCCAGGGCAGCTCAGAAAGCAATACAGCCACTACGGGGAAGCAGATGCCCAGACAGGACCTGAATTCCAACCAATGCAGTGAAACACCAAGCTAAGTATTTTCACCCACAGTCACCCAACCTGAAGTGCTGGAGGTAAATGCAGAGAAGACACCACTGACTTGGGCTGGGTGCAGAAGAGTTTACTACCCAAGCCATCACCATCCATTCCAGAATCAGGCTGGCTCCTGCAGAATCATTCAGGTAATCCTGCATCATGCACCCAGCATTCTGGGAAGGCTTGCAGCCACATGTGGAGCTGCACTGCAGCCAACAGCACCCAAAGCCAGAGATGAACAGAGGAGCCAGAGTCTGTCTGACTGCTCAGACATTCAGACAGATTTGACAAGTTCAGTTTGACAAGCCAAAACTCACTCTATTTAACCAGTTCTTTCCACTCCACACCACTGTCCAATTCTAGCACCACAGTGACTTTCAGAACAGTTCTGCACAGGGAAAGCACAAGTCAGGCAGGATATATTAGTTCTAGCTACTTAGCACCATCTTTAGAACAGCAATAAATTGGGGATACTGCTTCCAGATTACAGCAGTCTCCAGCATCACTACAGCCAGGTTTGCCATCTGACATCACAAATGCTCTCAGGCACAACCTATGTACCATCTCAGGCTCTTCTTCTCCCTTTTTACAACGTACCCTCAGCCCCTGCTCCCTGTCAAAATCCCTGCATTTTGCTTGGATGTATGGCAGGCAACACGGTCTGGATGGCCAGCTACCTTCATTGGAATGATAATTCCGGTTCAGACACTTTCAATTGGCTGAAATCACATAAGAAGTAAGACAACTTAGTGCACCAGCATCACCTTTGAGCAGCTAAGGATCTCTTCAACAACTCTCTCCTCATTTTTCCAAATACCACTATTACCAGCTGTATGGATTGCTTGGGCTAACTCAGCCTCTGATGTCCCCAATTAATGAAGGTTGATTGCACTGCTTTGCTGCTGATTGCCTCTACTACCCTCAGTACCACTGACTTTAGGCACAGCTCACAAGCTTAAAAACTTGCTTGTCTTGGGCTGCAATTTTTGACACTATGCAGTCAAATCACATTTTTCCTAGTTTAAAATCAAGTTGTTCCTGATTAAAAAAAAAAAAATCCACACATAGGCCTGTTTCAGTTACAGAAATATCCAGCACTTAAGAATGAAGTCTGTGACTAAAGGGCCATTTCTAATGATTTGCAGATACTTAAAATGCTGAGAAGGGTACAGGGAATAATGATTGTTGGCTTAGTGCTGCCACATGTAAGACAAGTTCCATGAGCTTTCTACTTTCATTAGTGGTGTGTAGCATCATGTAAAAAGTAGCTATTCTACAGGCTTGCCAGCACCCAACTTTTAAACACCAGCAGTCAACAGTTTCCAAACTATACTGTGTGTGCAGACTGTTACAGAAAATAAACCATAAAATGTAAAGTGCCTCATACACATCCATCTGCCTTCCTTTCTTAAGTTCTCAGCCTCTGGGTTTTAAACTCCTCCTGATTAAGTGTTTCAAAAATAGTAATCACTACACAAGTTTGTGGAGGAAACCACAGAAGGCACTTATGTGCTACCACTAGACAGGGTCAACAGCAAAATGTGTTCAATAACAAAGTACGATATCCATATACAATTATTCTGCAGAACGCGAATAGAAACAATATTTCTGTTCAACAAACAACTGCTTCCTATGTTCTTTCTAAATTATACTATTTGTTGCTCCACACAATAATTTGTTATTCAGCTTTTTTTGTTCCACAGTGGAGTCACCTTTAATTAAGAAAGGTAAAGGACTATGGTTAAAATGCGCATATACACTACAAGGTTTAAAGGACAGCCTCTGAAGCTTTCCAAAGTTTGATCTCATTCAATTCCGCCATTAAGAGCAACTGAAGACCCGGGACAGGGGCTGAGAGGTGCAGCGGGGAACTGAGCCAGACCGCGTCCCCCTGACAGTGACAGCTGGCTCCCCGCTCCCAGGGCAGACGCGGCGAGCCCCGGAGCCGCAGCCAGCGCAGGCCGCCGGGAGCGGGTGCGCAGCCGCGCCCGCCGCCGGCACGGGGGCACCGGGCCGCCCGCTCCGGCCCCAACGCCCAGGCCGCGCCCCGGCTGGAGCCGCCCCCTCCCGCTGGCTCCGGCGGTGCGGAGCGGCGCGTCCCGGCCCTCCGTGGCGCAACTCGGCAGCCGCGGAGAAAGAAGCCCTGGTCGGCCGAGCGGCGGGGCGGCAGCGCGGGGAGGGCACGGGCCGCTCCCGAGGGCGGGCAAAGGGAACCGCGCCGCGGCGCCGGTCTGCAGCCTCACCATAGCTCGCTCCGGGGCCTGCGCGGGGGCCCGGCCGCCCGCCGCTCTCGCCACGGGACTTCTGTCGGCTCCGTCCGCCATTTTGAGAGCGAGGGACGCGGCCGGCGGCGCCGTCACGGCCCGGAAGGAGCCGGCGCCGTCACCGGGCGCTGCGCCCGCTGCCCAGGGCCCGCCCCGCGCGCAGCCGCCGCCGCGCGGGGCTCGGTAGCGCCTCCTGCGGGAGGCCCAGCAGGGCCTGGTCGGGGCCTCTGGGAACGGCCGGCACGCGAAGCTCGTGTGGGGGCTGTGCGCTGAGCTGCGCGGTGAGGCTCCTGGGCAGGCACTTGAACTGTGCCGTGTGCTGCGTGTGCACTTCGCGCCCTGCATCACGGAGTCACAGAGTCACAGAATCGATTAGGTTGGAAAAGACCTCTGAGATCATCGAGTCCAAGCTACGACCGAACACCACCGCATCAGCCCGTGTCACTGGGTGTCACGTCCACTTTTTCCTTAACCATTTCCAGGGACACTGACTCCACCTCCCTGGACAGACCATTCCAATGTTTAATCACTGTTTCGGTGAAGAAATTCTTTGTAATGTCTAACCTAAACCTCCCGTGGTACAGGGGACTATGTCCCCTCATTTTATTCCTAGCAAGATAATAGCACAAGTGGCATCTACACAGGTGCAAAGTCACACCACTTCCATGTGGCTCCCATATGGGCTAAGCAAAGGGAAGATTTTATTAACTTGGTGTAGGAGGCAACGGTAGCTTTAGGCAAATGCCTAAAGACCAAAAAATCTCCAAGATCAAAATTTTTCCTCCGCACCTCCTTCCAACAGCATATCATAACTGTTCTGGGCGCTTAGCAGATTTGGCAGATTAGGGCATTTAGGATCTTGATTGATAGGTGACAAACACGGTCTATGCATTGCTGGAAGTTTTCCAGATTGTTGCAGTCCAGTTCCACAATTCCCTGTGTTTGCACCTTCCTAAGGCCAAAGAAATAGACAAATAGCCATAGCATTGGATCTTGAGGTCCATATCGAATGCCCGATATCTTGGGTATTGGGAAGACTGCCTCCTCCCACTGTAGTCTTCCTGTTTCAAGCCTCCAAGCAGTTTTTCGACTTTCTTTAGTTATCAGTATGGATGGGATAAAGTTTACAGGTAACCGTTTTCAGGTATATTCAATAATTTTTTGCACTGCACACAGCCACAGGTACTCTCAAAGTTCTTCTCTTATATCTTCAGAACATCTGAATGTAGTTCCTCTGCCATAGCTACTAGTCATCTTCATATTAAGAAGTCCTGCAAACTTTTTTATATTACTGAAATCTGTCACTTAAAATCACCATCACTGAGACAGGTTTAAGTATGAGGTGTAAAAAATACAAAGTGAATTTTGCCATGAGATAATTAACAATTTCATCTTGTTCTGTACTGTCTGTATTGCTGATCTGTACTCAATTCTTTTCAGCAGCATGGCTGCCTGCTAACCAGAAGTGTTGTTTGCACAACAACCAAGTTTGGACTGTAATTACTGGAGTCCTCCTCCTGTTTTGGCATCAACACTAGCAATTGTATAAGGTAGTCGAGCAAGAGAAGCAAGGAAGAATTCCAGGACAGCTACAAACCCAGTCAGGCAGCAGGAGGGCTCCCTGCAGCCCCCCGTGCTGCAAGGCAAGCAGCTTGCCTGGCCACCTCTTTTAGCTAACTGTCAGTGTGGGTTTGCTTTACTGTGGGACTTTTAGAAGTTATGCTAATGTAAATCAACTGCTTAAATTGAACAAGACTTACTGTTAGATGTATTTTTAAAAATTATTTTAAAAAAGTTGGAAACTACATGCACTGAGAGCAAAGAAAGTGTCAGCAAATGTCTTAAAAAAACAAATTGGCACCATTGCTGAGGCAGAAATGGGACAAAACAACAAGATCTCCATGGATACTACAGTAATAGAGGAAAGAAGAACAAAGCAGGAATTCAGATCAATTTTAATACAGATAAAATGCTTAACAGCCTTGCTAGAGCTAAAATAAAATGGTGGAGCTAAAATAAATGGAAGACAGTGAGCAAGCCCCAGTTCTCAAGATTACTCTTGAAGATTACCAGGGTTGCTGATTGATGTTTATTTACAAATATTTCTTCAGGGTGTTTTTTTGGAGGGAAGAGTACACAAGCAAGATGAAAGGCAGCTGAAAAAAACAAAAGCAAACATACATGAAGTCCTGCAAAAGAGTAACTAAATTATGAAGAACATCTAAAAAGACGTGTCTTATATTAATGCAGTCTAATTGATCTGAAAAATGTTTTTCTTGATCAATCAAAACTAATAATTATCAATGCTAAAAATTAAATCTTTGTCCTATGACAAATTATGTGAGAAAATATAATTACAACTAAACAACATTGAATTAGAAACTTCTACTACCTGAAGTTTGAGAATATTATGTTAAATAACAAAGAGCGATGTAAAGTGACAGAAGCTTTTTCACCTAAACTCATACTTAAGATGGGAAGAAAAAATCTCAACAGTAAATGGGCAGCAGTTAGTAAACTGAGTTGATAGCAAAGAATAGCAATTATGAAACTGGGCACTTGCTATAGAAAGGTTTAAAATTGTGGTACATATATATAAAAAAAAATTCAAAATACCATAAAAAGACTTCTGTCAGAAGCAAAATAGGTCAACTGCCTAGATTTCCGAGCAAGCAAAATAATAATACCGTAAGGAGAAAAAGCGAAAGTTTTCATGCTGTATTTGTAAGGAAGCAGGATGAGACGCGGATTTCTTCGTACGCCTGGGTTTCGTTCTGCTTTAACCTAGGCATTTCCAGGCACCCTGCTGCCGGAGGGAAAAGCGGGAGCGCTCAGGGCCCAGGCAGCGGGGGGAGAGCCGGGATCCCCGCCGGACACAACCTCCAGCACAAGGGGAGCGCCCACCCCCTGGCGTCGTTGGCATCGGTCCTCCGAGTCGAGCGCGGCCGAGCGCGGCCCGGCCCGGCCGCCGGGGAGGTGGACGCGGAAGTGCCGGGGCTGGCGGCGCGGGGCTCGCCCGGGGCGGGCGCGGTGGCGGCGCGGCGCACGATGCTGGGGCTGGCGGCGGGGCTGCTAGCGGCGGCCGCCGTGGCGCTGCTGCTGGACTGGTACGGGCCGCCGGGGGCGCCGCCGGCCCCGGGGCAGCGCCGCCGCTGGGCCCCGCAGCCCGCGCCCGGGGCGACCGCCGCCAGCCTGCTCTGGGTCGTGCAGGTGAGCGGGGCCGGGGGGCCAGGGGCCGCCGAGCGCGGGCACGGCGGAGGCGCGCAGCCAAGCCCAGGTTACAGGCGTTTGGCCAGGCTGCCCCAAAGGTCGCGGGCACTGAACATATTGAAGAATATGTTTGGTGCCGGCAGCTCGATGTGCAGCTGCAGGGCTGGCTACAGGCTGAGCTCCGGGGGGCGGGAGCCCGAGGCGAAAGGCCGGGACCTGCCCGACCCTTTACGCGGCGGAGGGCGCCGGGCACGGGAACATGTGGCCCGGCCAGGACACTCAGAGACGGCAGGAGCCCATGACTCCCAGACTGTGACGGTATAAAAGCCAGAGATTCCTTTCTTTGGGGCACCTTTTCAGAGGTACCCAAGTCAAACTGTTATTTTGTTAATTACTGCACCAAGATTAAATTATTTTAATGATCCCGAAGTCTGAGACCCTGCTATGGGAAACCTAGGGCACAGCTGGCAAGGAAACCTGGTCTGACTGTGAGTGTGGGTTATGTAGCTGTGAAGGGGCCTCGGTCAAAGGTGGTGTGAGTGACTGCCACTGTGGCTCCTCGATGGTTGCACAGAGAAGTTTCCTTATCACACAGATGTGTGTAGTGGAAGTTGGTAATTAAAAATCACCTAATTATTACACTACCCTATATATTGCATCAGTACCTGATGTGGTATTATCTAATATCCTGGGGAGGGAGAAATGCAGGCTCTGCCTGTCCCTTTCCCTATCCCAAAACTCAGAAAAATTGTGTGGCTAAGGAAATAGCTTTACTGATTTATAGCAGTAGAAGGTACTGTGCCAGTATTCAGAAGGTTAAATATACACTGCTTTTTTTCCAGGTTAAACATAAAATCCAGGTTGACCTGGCATTGTCCTGGAAGCAAATTGTCACGTCTTAGGGTTTCTGTGGCTTCTTCTGACTCTTCTCCCCAGAGTATTCCCAAAGCACTTGGTGTAGAACTAGCCACAAAGATGTTTACATATTCGTAGTTCAGCTGTGGCTGAAATGTCTCAGGGATTGCTGTGCATTTCCTTCCAACAAAGAGCTGCTTTTATGGTTTTGTTTTAATTCTCAATCTCAAGAACACTTTGCCTGACTTTATTAGCTACAGGTAGTGCTCTTAGTGGACAAGCTGGCATATGTTTGGTCCTTTGGTTCTCTCTAATTGGTGGTGTAATTTTTTTCCAGTAATTTTTCCTTAAGTGACTTAAGGCTTATTTTTACTTCAGAGTACAAGTATCAAGAGAAATGCTTGAAATAATGTAAGGAAAGCCCCTGTCCTGAGCTGTTGTCTTGTATGAAAAGTCAAATAGAGCAGCACATAGCAGCTGCAGATATACTGACAAACAGCATGCACAGGTCCATGTTTCTCTTGCTGTGTTCTCTCTGGTTGTGTCATTTCAAGTAGAGTTCTCCCAAGGATAGGTCACAGCACAGCTAATTTGAGACTTGGCTTTACTTTCAAGTGGTTATGTTCTCTTTCAGACATGCCCTTTAAACAGCTGCTTTATCATTGACCTAACTTGGAAATTAATCAAGCACCAAATCCAGCCTTGTGCCTGATGATGTTATGGGAACCAGGCTTCAGGCTCCCTGGTGATTCCATAGGTCTAGCCTAGGTCACTGAATAGAGCTCTAGATGGTCAGTTCTGCTCCCAGCAGTTCCTGCCTTGTTTTTCTTCCCAAACACAAGATTATCTCTTCTTAGAGGAACTAAATCACAGTCTTTCTACTTTAATCTTCTATTAATGGCTCATCCATCTTTATTGTAGCAGAATTTCCTTTCTTACCCACTGCCAAATAGACACTCTAGTTCAGTATTTGACAAGCATATAATTATTTCTCAATTTCTCTCAGCTGAAAGCATTCTACCGTTGCTCTAGACCTTATAATTCTTCTTTGTTAACACCCGCATTTCCTGAACCACATCTTTGCTACAGATAAGAAATGTTGATGGTGATTTCTCCTCATCCCTGTATCTCTTCCAACCCATTTTAATGCAAGTAACTCCTATGAAGCAATGAGAGTATCCACATCAGTCAGAGCGGGGGAAGGAGCAGCAAAATGGGCTTTCACCTATATTTTGGAAAGTAAATAAGAGCATTTCAAGCTTTTCATCTTGCCCACTGTGTTTTTATCTTTTCTTTATCCACTGGGATGTCATCTGAAATGAATTCAAAATAAAAAAAAAAAGGAAGAAGCTCCACTTCTGAGATCTTCATACGTCATGGCTGTTAATGATGAAAGAAACTTAGTCCCAGCTCTCAAAAGTCCCAAGACACTGTAACTCTCAGGAATTACAAGTTGAACCCTTTTAAAAATCTTAAACTCATGGGGAAGAAAAGTGGCAAAGTCACTGTAGGAAATTAGGCTTCCGAACCACTCTCTGCTGTAAGGTTGGAAATTTACATTTGCTGTAGCTACTGGTAGAGCATGGCTAAGGTTTTTTTTAAGACTGTTTTTTCTCAAGAATGAAAACTGTAGAAGTTTTGATTTTCTGTGTTTGATTGCTGAGATAAATGAATTGCAAATCCATAGGCCGAAAAGAAGCAAAACAAGTTGTGTTGTTGTCAATGATTAAATGAGGTTTGATGTACCGAGGTAGTTTTGCTGTGCTCTTTGCTTCACACGAGTTTGAATACATCAATGAAAGTGAAGACAAAGTTATATCTAAAAGCTATATCTTTTTTAGCATGCAATTCTGATCTAGGCAAAAATTCCATGTCATTCCGAATGGGGAGTTTCCTAAGCAAAATTTAAAAACTGTGTTCAGGTAATATTTTCTTCGTGTAGAGATGACTGAATAAGTAGAAGTAAATAATTTTTCTCCAAGATATTTTATCTGGATTTTTCAAAAACTAAAAGCTTTATGAGAACAGGTTTATTAAACTGAACATAAAAGTTAATGTTTTTCTTTCCAAGTGATACTGTCAGATGAGCATTTGCTTACTGCTTTTTGAGCATCAAATACCATTTGTTCAAACCAAGGAAGACAATTAATTAATTGGCTGAAGTAGAATGGAAAGTGGAATTGATGCAATACATAAGGGGGTTTTTTTTTGTACAGTACCAAAAAGCCACAAATGTAAAAAAATAGAAAAATCTTATATTTCTTACTCTCCCCAAATGGCTCTTCTGATGTGAGGGCTTTCACTGATTCAGAAATGAACAGCATCTTCTACAGTTACATACAAGTCATATCATCATTTCTTAGGCAATATTTGCCTTCTTGAAGGCACATGGAATGAGATCTAAACACACTTGTTTGATCCATTAAAATGCTTGGATAGAATGTTAAAAATCCTTTCACTCAGCTACTGGAAATGTCACACCAGGTACAAAATAAATTTTCAGTACATTTCAAGTTCTAGGTAGTTTTAACCTATTGCTTTGCAGAACTGCTTTGTATTCTTACTTGCAGCAGGATCAGTGTATTGCACAGAAACTGCCAGAATTTGAAAGGCAACAGGCCACTTACAGCCATCACAGTTTACTGTGGATACCTAAGTATTTACTCATACTTTTGTATGCGCTTAGTTTTAAGGAAATTTTCTTGATGTAAATGTGATTTTAGGGGTTAGAGTTGCAATAGCATTTGCTTGTACTGCTTTCCTTCTCCCCTAGTCATCCACTTTTGTTTCTCCCTGTATCCCTTACACTGACATGAATCACTGTGACTGCTCTTATGTTGCATTCTAATGTATACTTGGCTTTGCAGAACAGCCTGGGTAGCAATAACCCGTTTACTTGGGGCAGTGTTTCAGTCTTCTCTTTTGCAGGTTTCAGATATTCATATCAGCAAATTTCGGGATCCCAAACGAGCTCCTGACTTTGAGAAATTTTGTTCAGAAACAATTGATGTAATTCAGCCAGCACTTGTTCTAGCAACAGGTAAGCAGTTGAAAAGTGTAAATTTCCTGTTGAGTGGACTGTCAAAGGTGCAGCAAATAGGCAAAATTGTAGGATCCCAAGAGAGAACTTTAAACATATCTTAAGTAATAGAAATTGAATTGCAGCTGAAGGGAGACTGCTAGAAGCTGAAAAAAAAAACTTCTCAACAAGGGAATTATTATTATTTTTTTGAGCATTCAGTTTCTTCAGAGAGTTTAGTGTGTTCTATACATAACAGACACAATCACACAAGATAGCTAATGTTTTCCCAGTAGGTGTTGCTGCATCATAGCCCTTGCTATCAGCTACCCTCCCTCTTGCTCTGGTCATGATTCTACATTCTTTATGTTTGAAATTACAGAAGTGAGCAATGTCTGTAGTTAGCCACTAAGATACAGTTCCCTGCTCAGAACAATTCCAGTTCATTTGTATGAAATTCACCTGTGAATTAATGTAGGATTTTATTGCTGGTTTCCATTTGAACATATCATACCAAGAGAGGTGTAATAAGCCTTGCCACTTCATATGACAGCTTGCTATTGAAATAGATGAAGTTTTGACAAGATAATTGAAAAAACTTTAGGCCGTTGCTGTGTGCAAGGTTTTAGAATCTTAATGCTAGGCCTGGAGTTTTGCTTCTGTAGAAAGTTGTTATCTAATTAGTGAAAGTGCTGCAGTGATGTGGTCAATAGATGTCTGATGAGGTTGCTGCATCTGCATTAGAAGGCATTTACGCTGATCATGTGGGCCAGATACAGAAACATACAGATTGCACCCAGGCCTGCAGCCACTTAGACTTGAAGGCAGGGATGGCTTGTCTAGTTACAGTATTTGTATAAGCTGTGTAGGCCTCTAGTTATATCTCACCTTTGTACACTCTCAGGTGATCTGACAGATGCTAAGACAAGAGATAAACTGGGATCTGAACAGGTAGAAGATGAGTGGAAAACTTATCAGTCAATCCTGAAGAGATCAAGGGTCACGGAAAAAACCAAGTGGATAGACATCAAAGGGAATCATGGTAAGAAGAAAATGAAACATTTCTGTCTTTCCTGTGATTGCAGATCACAGAATATAGAGGTAAAATGTTAGTACTCACTAGTGTGTTAGTGTTCATGAATTAGGAGAAGGACTTACCATCCACGTCTACTGGGGACACACTTTGTTTACAAGCTCTTACTGGAGTGAGTTTTAGTACCAGAGAGGTAAGAGTCTTTTACCTGGCAAGTGGTAGAACATGACTTCAGAGGTTAGTTTTCCACGTCATTATTTTATATACCACATTATTTAATGGAGGGGCAAACTGTAATCTTACCATACTGAAGAAATGGTTTCAATTTACTTTTCATAGACTTCCCCCTCACAGGTTTAAGTTTAAAGGGTGTCACATGTTCAGCAGCTAAAGGAAATTTGGTTTCTTTTGAATAGAAGGGAGTCATGGGAGGTTAGATCCATCAGCTGTTGCCACACTGTAAGCATTCAAACACAAGCTGACAGTTGTGTAGGCTGTATAAACAGGCTGTACAGGAAGCTGCCCTGGGAGGGGGGAAAGTGCATGCTTTGTCATATATACTCATTTTCCCATTAGGCTTCTGTCACCAGCATTTATTAGGAGAGGTGGAGCTGTTGCAGTACAGACCTCCCCAAGCTGATGTCTGTTCTACACATGCTGTTCTCTAGATGAGATGCTCCTTATTTTCCATGAAAGAGTTAAGTCTTACTTACAGAGCATGCACCCAGTCCAGAAAAGCTCTTGAAAGGTTCTGTGGTCAAAATGGAGACAGGTTTAGTTTTTGGCTGCTAAATAACAATTTATATTCCCACAATGCCTTTATTTTTTAATTGAAACTTGAATGAGAAAACTATCTCCATTTAACTGCATTGAGTATATAATGCCTCCTCTGCACAGTTAGTCTGCTTGTCAATCATGCATTTTTTAAAAAGTAGCTCTTCAGCACCTGCTGAGACTGCTTTATCTCAACATTGCCTAGTTAGATACAGGGGCCAATGATCAATTTGATCTGAAAATTTTCTTATTTCCTTTTTTACTCCCTTACAGATTCATTCAACATTCCACGCCTGGATAGTGTTCAGAATTATTACAGGTACTTTTATTTACCATACAGATGCAGCTATATCCAAGGTCAAATTCACTAAACAGTACTCTGTTTTCAGTTATTACATATATGCTTTTTCACTGACTTTCTTCTAGCCCAGGATCATATCTACTATTCCCTCTGTCTTTTGCATTGTCAGTTAGAGCAGAATCGATTGAGAAAATAGAGAATTCTTTGTGCAGATTTCTTATCTCTTACCTTTCTGTGTTTTGTAATTGAGTGTGTTAAATCTGTCAATGTCTACAAAATTTTCAGTCACACTCTAGGAGAAAGAAGATGGAAGAGTGAAATGGAGTTGTTTTTTCAATATATAAAAATATAAGTATATTTTAAAATATTAAAACTACAAAAATTGTTTGCAGAAATAAAAATAGAAGCTAGGAAAAACAGTTATTCAATACCACATTCTGGTGTTCATTATGCATTACAATTAAAGAGGGTAATGGGTTGTATTGAAATACAATATTTTTACACAAAAACATAGGTTCCTATTATATGTTCTCAGCATTAGCAGAGGATTAATCAACTGTTATACATACTCAAAGTGGGACTAAATGAAGAAATTTTATTGAAGTTGATGATGTTCATAAAGATACTGCTAACTTAAAAAAATATTTTGAAAGGGGTTTTATAGCATTAGAAGTATTGAAAACTTGGTTTTAATATATTGGCTTGTATTGTATTCAGGTCAACATTTCTGGCAATTTTATTGTTCTGATTAGTGGAGGAACAGGGACATGAACTGATTTCTGGATGGCTGTGCTCAAATTATACTCATCATCTGAACTCAGGAATGTTTTCGTTTCCACAAATCATGCAAGGAGTAAAACAAAACTAAAACAACTTTAAAAACCCCAAATGCACACAAAAGGCCCACTTCAAAACCCCAAAAGAAATGAATAAAAAAAAAACCCCTAACCTGAATTTAATTAATTTTAGTGATTCTCAGATGAACTCACCATCATTTTAGTTACAGAATTGCAATTTAGGTGGTACTATTAGTTGAAATGTCATGTCTTTGCCAGTGGAAGATGTGTACAATTCCCATCTAGCATAAAGTATCAAAAGCACTCCCAATTTGTTAGTTAGAAATAGTGAAATTTGCTGTTGTCAATGGAAAGAGAGAAAGCAACGCATGTTTATCATGGGTACAAGCTTTCCTAACAGCAATATTTCTATCTTGTTTTGTTAGGAAATACTCTGCCTGGCATAAAGATGGCTCTTTCCATTACATCCACACTACCTCTTTTGGGAACTATTCATTCATCTGCGTGGATGCCACACTCAGCCCAGGCCCTAAAAGACCCTATAATTTTTTTGGGATTTTAAACATGGTATTGTATAAGTCTTTGCATTCCATTTTGCTGGCTGTTTTATTCCTGTAGTGGTTTGTTTGGAGGTTTGGGTTTTTTTAAATATAGAAAAATTGTTTGAAAGATTTATGTTCATCTATAAGTGTGTTTACGTTTTTAAGTTATAATGCATGTGAGACATTTATTTAGCAAAATGGATTTGTCACCTGCCTGTTTCAGAATCAAATGGCAGAGCTGTCTTCGATGGCAACAGAAAGTCTACACAGCAACCATACTATCTGGTTTGGCCACTACCCCACCTCCACAATCATCTCCCCATCCCCTGGAATACGAACACTAATGAGGTAAGGTCTTCTTACCCTCTATGTTTTCAGCATGAAGTACATTTCTTGTCTGTTTTCACATGCTCATCTCTCACTTTTCAGGTTTTCTGCAGTGATATTTCCTTCCCACCCAAATAATCACAATTCTTATTAGTTCTGCCACAGCCTATTTATGTGGACATCTCCATACAATGGGTGGGCTGATGCCAGTCTTGCACAGTCAGCACCGTGGTGGCACTCTGGAACTTGAATTGGGAGACTGGATGGATAATAGGAGGTAAGAAAAGCCCATATGAGCAAATTATTATATGAAACCTACCTGCTGTACTGTGATTCTCTTTTATGCTCTGTGGTGCACTTGAAAGAAGCATGAAATCAGCCTGACTGGTTATTATTATTATTATTAGTGCTTTTGAAAAAAGGTCTTGTGTGTATGTTTGGAATTTTTCCCCATATCAACAGTGTGCTAATAAATTAAATTTTTTTTTTATTAATTCTTGATATTTAAAAACTAAAAAGGGGGCATCTAAATGTGTATCCAGATAGTATGTATTTAGTATTAAATGTAGAAAAATATATTGTTGTAAAATTCAGCATCACTACTTCTCTCACTAATTCAGCATCTCTCTTCTCTACATGCTCTGCAATAGCTGTTAGAATTCTTGACACAGAAATAGTCCTCCTGAGAAATGTTACCTTACTTGCATATCCAAAAGTGTCTGATGCTATGTGGAGTGGATAGTTGTATATTAACTTTTATTCTGCAGTAATCCAAAGAAAGGTATGGATACAGGGGAGGAGCACACTGGGGTCATTGTCCTGAACTAGAGTACCTACACAGACACTATGGAAATGTACATTATATTTGAGGTCTTTAATGTAATGTTCATCTGTCTGATTCATGTGCAAAATTCCATAGATCTTCACACTTGGAACTTTGAGTACTGCTTCCATGATTTATAATAAAATTAACCTCATCAGAGGTAAGCAACTGTACAGTTAATATAGCAGAGTTGGAGAATGTAAGATCAACTACAGAAGAGAATAAATAGAAAATAAAGCCAGGTTCTTTAGGAACTTGAGGAGCTGGAAATCAGCTGTTCACAAAGCAGTTTGTATTAGCAAAATTTGTTTCCTTTCTTTATAGATACAGGATCCTCGCGTTTGATCATGACCTCCTCAGCTTCGCAGATCTCAACTTTGAAGAGTGGCCTGTAGTTCTCATCACCAATCCCAAATCCTTCCTTTACAGCAGTTCTACTCATGAACCACTAGTCAAAATTCTTTATTCCACTCATATCAGGTACCCTGTAATGTCTTGATTTCACAATATTTAATTATATTTATATGTATATACACAAAACTTTTTTTTTTTATATATGTGTCTGCTGTTCTCAGAATTAATTTTTCTCTGGAAGATCATTCCAGAGAGCTTGCTTTGTATCATATCTGTGATAAAAAGTTTGGGTAGTAGTAATTCATGGTTTTTTTAATTTATGCAGTTATTTCCCCTAAGGTCAAACAAACTTTATGTAACCAAAGTTGATCAATTAATATATAATTAAAATAGATTCATATGTAATCAATATGCATAGATTGTTATGTAATCTGTGTTATTTATCTCACATGTTCACATCAACTCTGCTAATTTCAGAATTTTGTCTATGTATTTTTCTAAATGTTTTCTCTATTCACTTCAGACTTCTTAGCTTTGTCTTTTCAATTCTACATCCTTTACATACTAAAACATGAGAAGCATCTGCCAATTTTCATATTCATTTTAAATCTCTCAATCTTTTAATCTATTTATCTATTTAATTTTTACATTTATATTTCAGATTTTTAGGCCCTTTTCAGCATTTTATATTTGCTGTAAGACTAATCTGCTTGAAATACTGCATACATAGGGTTACAATAAAAAGAAGTTTGTCACACTTTTCAGTTAGGGAGCAGTATCCTACTAGATGTCCTAATTACTTTCCAGTTTCCCATTCAGAACCTTATCTGAACAATCTTAAGATTATACTAAATATAGGAACTGGTAGATTTATTCACCCTAACTGTATGAAACACCTTCATTTGACTAAAACATGCTCTGTAATGCCATTCATATTACCAGAAATGAAAGGAATTGCACTTACAATATTTTTGAGTCTGTATTAGTGTCACTGTTTCTGTGAATATAGCACTACTGCCAGGTGGCAATACATTTGTTGGTATCTGAGAACTGGCATTCCACTCCATTTGTCCTAAATGCAGTAACAAACTCTGAGAGGTTATATTCTGACTAGGAAAAAAAAAAAAAGGGGGAAAAAAGAAGGGAAAAAAAACCCCACTCCCAACAACAAAGGACTTTAGAGAGAGAGCCTGGCAATTTTTTATGAAGACATCTGCAGGTCTTTGGTTATGTGTCTATGTGTGCTGGAGGATGCATCCCACTTCTGTTAGGAGATGCTTTAAAGCAAGAGTTCTAAAATTATTTCTGTCAAGGCCTTACAACTTCTGCCACCTTTTGATCTGTTCCACATCCAGTTTTCTATCCTGTTCTTTTGTGCAGTGCCATACAGAACTACTTTGTCTGTAACTGTAGGAAAAACCTACCATGTTACCATTAGCCTACAGATATTTCACTGTTGTAATTTCTAAATATTTTGAACTCTTTACTACAAGGCAGCTTAACCTTTAGAGACTTCTTCTTAAGGAAGTAATTACGTACCTGCAAGTCCAGTAACAAATCTGTTTCTTTTGCTCTTTATTTACTCCTTAGAATTCTGGCATTCTCTCCTTCTGTCATTGTCTCTGTCAAAGTCTACATAGATGGAGTTCACCTGGGGAATGCACATCAGGTGTCTGGCCCTCTCTATGTGCTGAAGTGGAGCCCACAAAACTACAGTGAAGGGTTCCATCACATAGATGTGACTGTCCAGGTAAGGTACCTGTTGGCATTCTCTGTATAGATTTTTTTTTTCTTCATCATGGCTTCTCTGTCACCCTCCTGCCTCACATAACTAGGAACAAAATACATGATAACAGACTTATTTTCATATTTGTCTGATTACAAAACCCAAAGGATTTAATAAAGGAATAAACATAGACTGCTAAGCACCAAAATATTCATAAAGCTGCTGGAATAAAGAAAGAAATATTATTTTTCATAAGAAGTAGAATAAGACATGACAGAAGTGCAAACTTGAAACTGGCCAAAGATGTAAAAAATTACAAGAAATGGTTCTAAAGGTGTATAAACAGCAAGCAGCAACAGAAGGAAAATACTGGCCAGGTGTTAAACAGCAGAAGTGAATTAGTCACATACAGCTCTGACAAGGCAGAGGTTCTCAGCACTTTCTTCACCTCTGTCTTCACCAGCAGTGTTGGGCCTCAGGCTTTGGAAGCAAGGATCAAGGCTGATGCAAACAGAGACCCACTGTCAATGAAAAAAGAGTTGGAGTGAGACCTGGCACAGGAGGTTGATCCTACAGATCAATGGGCCCTGACAGTTTCCACTCCAGAGTGTTGAGAAACCTGGTTGACATCTTTGTGAGGCCACTCTCCATAGTCCTGGAGAAGTTGTGGAGATCAGGGGGCATCCCAGAAGACTGGCAGAAGGCTAACTCTCCGGTGTATAGGAAGGCTGAAGGGAGGATCCAGGAAATTATAGGCCCCTTAGTCTTATTTCAGTCTCTGGGAAAATCAGGAAATTAATCCTTGTGGGGGGCTTTCTGAAGTCAGATGAAGCACATCTCTGGGAAGACCCAATACAGATTAATCAAGGGCAAATTGTGGGCCAAGAAGAACATTATGAAGTTCATGAAGGAAAAGTGTAAGCACTTGCACCTGGGAAAACATAATCCAGGAGTGCAGCACAGGCTGTGATCTGCCTGGCTGGGGAGCAAGTCTGTGCAAAGGGACCTCAGTGTCCTGGTGGACCACAAGCTCAGTGTGAATGAACAGTGTGCTGGTGCAGCAGAGAAAATCTACTGGATGCTGGGGTGCATCCACAAGGGCATCAGCAGCCAAGACAAGTCACTGTCCTGCTCTACTGAGTGCTTACCAGGCCACATCTGGAGCACTGTGCTCAAAGTGTTGAATAAATGACAAAAAACAATAAACGAATGTTTGTTTACATATATGGGTTTATGACAATACACCAGAAATGAAGCACAACAAAATTTGAAAATATTTTAATATGGGCTATTACCTAGAATTGAACTTTCTGAAAACAATTGTGGGGCGGGGCATAAACAGTCACAGTATTCCCTAAGTTGCTGAATCTCTGACAGGCTCTACTTCAATGTAGCACTTTCAGATTATGCTTTTATAACCACCAGTTTACTTGAAACGGCAGAATTGACTGTAAGTAACCCTTTGTTGGTGGAATTTAATACAGCACTATGCAGAGAAGCATACATCAATTGTATCTCTCAATGATAATGATTAACTTTACTTGACAGTTTTTTGTACCACTGCTATGTAATTGCTCTCATTTTATGTCAATCTAGGATGCTTCAGGAAGAATTGGCACACGGGGCCATTTATTTGGTATGGAAGAAAACCTCTCTCTTAGATTTGACTTTTGGTCATCTGTTATTCTTCTCACTGACCACTATGTTCTAGTAAGTACTTTCAGCAAAACAGCTGTTACTTCATGTTGGTTTCCCAGTCTGCAGTAGGGTTTTCCTAATTCCTGAAGAATTCATAGATTTGAATGCAGTTACTTTTTCCAGAAATTATTTCTTTTGGAATTCCAAAACATTTAAAGTTTCTCAAGTTGCACACTTCAACCACAAATGCACAACAATGGTTTATACAAACAGTTGACATCCTGGATTTAGTCCCAATTATCCATTTTTGGGCATAAGTGTACACACATTTTGTACAAGCAAGAAATTGAGATAATAGAAAAAGGAAACATTAAATTGAAGAGAAATTCACTGTGAACTGTTGCGATATGTTTTCTGGAAAAAATGCTGCAAATATTCTCATTGTCAGCTGCTGACATTATAACTAACTGAAGTGAAGTGGAGGGCAAAATCCCCATTGACTTTATTGAGTGCCAGGTCATATCCAGATGTGTTACAGCTCAGTTCAAGCAAAGAAGGATGTCATGTCTTAGTAGCCTAGGTGCACTTCTAGAACTGCATAAGAAAGTCCACATGACGGTAGTTCTTATCATAATTGGTTCAAAATTATTCTTAGGTTTGTTAATCCTGTAAAATGGTGTCACACATTTTACACCATGTCTTGAACTGCATTTCTCTTCAGAACAGTGCTCAGACAATGTTTTTGCCTTGGAAGTGTAACTACACTTTTTCAATGGATGTGTTTACAAACTCTATTTTTAAAGATTCAGGTCTATTGCTTTCAGATATTGAGCAGAATTCAAGTCAGTACAATACAAATTTTAGAAACTCTTCAGCTTCCTTTTTTACTCTTCAGTTCAGTGACACCATCAAGCTTTGAATATGTGTTTCAAAGAGGATCTTTGTACCATTCTCTCAGTGTCCATAAGGCATGCTCCAAGGCTGCAATTATTCCAGGGCTGGCTTATAGTCAAAACTGTCTTTTCAGGCCCGAGTGCTCTTTGGACTGACTGTGCTGATTCAGATTACCTTACTTGTTGTTTTCCGACACCTCCAAAAGCCAGCACTCAAAGGTATCAACTAACATTTACCTGTGTTTTTTTGTAGTTCTGTTTTCCCCTAGACTTTTTACTGTTGACCTGTGTGCTAACAATATGTAAGTAAATGTGCTGTTAATCACCATATGCTGCTACTGTGGGGTTTGATTGGTTTCTCAGAAGCTGTTGTTTCGCTTTTAAGGGAAGCTGGAAAACCTCCAATATATCAAATAAAGTAAACTAGAAACTTGAGCAGGTATCTTTGTTTAAACAAAAGTTGAGTTGATTGAAGTCCAAGGTTTCATTTTAATTTTCTCACTGAAGAATCCAATACATAGGGAATGTTTTGTTTTGTATTAGTTCTGCATGTGTGCTTGTTTCACTACAGAATTCTCTCTTGCCTGAGTGGAGAAACAGTTTTCCTTTTGTAAAGATAGTATTTGTTAACTTTTGCAAAGAACACTGACAGGATTGGGTCTTTCTCAAAATAAGATTAAGGCCATTTCTGTCATAACTTGATACTTTGTTTGTGATACATCTAGTAAATTAAAATTATTACTATTAAGCTCATGGTATTTATCCTTTAAACAGTCATTTGAACCACACCTTACTAATGAGATTTTTCTGGAAGCCACCTCCCTTCCTATTCATGTCAGTGTTTGTACCTTCCTGTATACTCCTAATTGTGTAGCATCCTGAGGTAACTACAGCAACTGCTTACATAGAAAAGAATCAGATTTTCAGTTGCCTTTATGGAATTCAGCAGCTAAATATTAAAAAAGCTGACTCTTTGGTCATCTAGGTCCATGTGGACCATGATAAATGTTTGACATCTTAGTGAACAAATTTGTTAGAGCTGTTGATTTCCAAAGGTGAAGCTTGCCCTCTAGGGGTTAATTCTTTGTGAGAAGGCCACATAATAGATGTAAGTCTACAAGCTAACTTTTTAGGGAGGTTCTCTTGATCTGTGAATTGCCTGCATCATTTAGAGAGCTACTACTGCTTTTTTCTGCTAACACCACACACTTGTCAAAATAATGTCATTTTAATGCCAAGACTTAATTTTGAGCTGCTATCAGATCTCAGTAGATTTAATCAAAGGAAATCCAACAATTCTAGTCCACGCTGACCCACCTTTCTGGGTTTGCAAAGTTACTGTTTTGATTCTCCTATTTTTAATTTAATTCATACTTTCTCCATGTTTTTCATTCTAGCTAACTTCATTTTCTGGGTATAGAATGGTCGTTCAGTATTATTTACATACAGTAAGTGTATTCCTTTAGACTGACAGGTTCCTCTGCCTTTTTTGATATAGATTGTTATATTTATTGGTTCTTTACTTTCAGTTATCACAGTAATAGTAATGCATTCCTCTGCATTTTTCTGTAGACATACCAAGTATCATTTTTATACTCCTTATTTAAAATAATGAGTAAATAATATGCAGATTTGTTTCAGAAAGACCAGTATTATACATACATATATATCTGGGGAAGGTGTTGCAAACTGAATTGTGTTTTTCTTAAATGTTGTCTCTGTTTAGGAAAGCCGGGATTACTTACTCTGACTTCATATTCTCTTCATGTCTTCAGTAAAACAAACACCTTCTATTACTCAATTCTGGTTCTGAATTTATACACCATTCTGGGTAAGTAGCCTAGAGTACTGGAGGACATAAATTGGTATTTTGAAATTACACATTAGATCCTGATGAAAATTTAAGAATTCTAACATCTTAGAGAATGAGGAAAATCTACTGAAGTTACAAAAGCTATGTGGAACTTTAAAAGTTAATGTCCAAGAGACTAAAGGCTTATTTGTAAGAGCCTAACTTAGAAGCCCTGAATTAATTAAACACTTAGATTGTTAAATTACTCTGAAAGCAAAGTGATTATTTTTAAATTCAGTTTCGTTTTCACTTACTTTTTGATTATTAGCATCAGAGCTAACAATCTGAGCTTATTCTCCTTTGATAACATGTTACTGAAGTAGCTCTTTTCTTGTTAGTCTGTGTAGTATGTATAACACAGAGCAGCCTGCCTGTTTTAATTTCTATGCTGAGCCAGGCTGGAATTGTTTGTGACCACATTTTTCACGTATCTTACTGTAATTCTGGGAAAAAGCTACCCTTTTCACCTCTCTCATAAGGAAGATATTATGTGTGGTGTTGAAAATTGTCACAGAGATGAAACTAATTCAAAAGTATTTTCATTGCATGCCACAACCCCGTCAAACTGTGGTGTTTTCACACCAGACTGCTGTTTGCTGCATATGAAAACATGAGGCTGATTACTCTGGACAAGCAATAGGGAAGTCTCAGGGTACAAAAGGCTGTGTGGGAAAGGGCTGTGTCTCTGTTCTGTTTCCTGATGGTGATGTTTGGTTTCCTCTCTTGCAGGACCATGGTTTGTAGGTGAACTGATAGATGGCCAGATGGGGGCCTGTTTTTCCTTTGGAGTGTTTGTTGGTGGTTCCTTCTTACAGGGCAGTATGACATTTGTGGTTGGGATTTTACAGGTGAGTATTTATAAAATAAAGGCTAAAAACCAGTGCTTTTTTTTCTCAGGGGATTTTTTCCGTTTTTTTAATAGATTTAAAGAAAGAAGTCTTGGAAGTAAAGAGATTATTGACCATGCCTGACTACAGTGGTCTTTCTTACCTTTCTGCAGATTTAAAGAAAGGAAGGAGGTTGTGCATTATTTTCACAAACTTCTCTTTTTCTCTAATAAAATGATGTTGCTTTGGACTCCCTGGATATCTGGATTAGAGGCTGCCTCTACAGATATATAACTAAATTTTCAATGAATTTTCTAGTTTTGCCTTTGGCTTACACAATGTAAGCAAAAAACTGAGTGGCCAGGGTAGCCCCTGCAGTGTTAATAACTCTTCAGATCAGTAGATGTCACTCTTTAAGCACACGAGTCCAGTTTTCCCAGGAGTGTTTTCCCCATTAATCTGGAAGACAGTGTCATTCCTTGGCATTTAACATAGAGGATCAAAACAGCATTGCCTCCTTCTTCATGGTGTCTCCTTTGTACCAGTGGGACACTGCAGTGGGCTGGACTGTCAGAGTTAAGCTGACATACAGACTGTCTGGTTTTGCCATGTTAATTTTTTGCTAAGTCTGGCTCCCTGAATCATTTCCAGGAAATGTCAGATGTGTGTTAGTGCCTCTTACTGCAAGGGAATGGGCAGGAATTCTTGGCCTGGGACTCAGGCCCAGGCAGTCCCAGCTTTTTCATCTGCAGTCATGGAGATGCATCCTGAGATTCCATCTCTAGGAATTGTACTCAGCCCTTAGAATGGGACAGCTTTATCTGTGCATACATTTTTAAGCTGTCATAGATATTACCCAGAACCCTTGGCTTCCTCATTGTCTTATTTTTCTTCGCTCTTCCTTTCAGATGCTGTTTTTCAACCTGCCATTGATGGCCTATCTGTGCTGGTGCCTGCTGCTGCGCTGCCGTGGCCACAGCTTCCGTTCCCACCTCCGTCACGTGCGCCGCCTCGTGGCTGTGCCTGTTCACCTGGCAATGGTGCTGCTCCTGGCCTGGCAGGTCTACTCCTGCTACTTCCTGCAGCGCACTTACGGCACCTTGGCCTTCTTCCTGTCCCCAATGAGAACGTGGCTGGTGCTACTGACCGCAGCTCTCATTTATAAAACCTGGACACTGAAATCATCACAGCTCAGAACTTACATAACAGAGATAAAAAACTGTCAAAGCTCCTGAAGTACAATATAAGTACTCCAAATTCTGTCTTAAAAAACTGTCAAGGTACAACCTTATCATTTTGTGATGCTGGAATTCCATACACCCCACCATTAAGTGGTAGGACCCAAAGCTGCACCTGCACTGCTACGGAACTGTATTAAATAGTTAATGTACAATATGTTATACACACTTTTCTTCTATTATACAACATACTGTATAATACATGTTATATAATACAGTTATGGATTATACATCAGTACAGTCAACTTTGGAATAATCTCATCAATGAGGTTTTTTTAGTGATACAAAGATAGATATGTCCATATGGATCACAAATGGAAATGTTTGCCTATTACTACTGCGAATAGAAAAATAATTAATTATTGATTTTTATAATGCTGCAAAATATGAGCATAGGACCTGATGAGCTTCTGGATTTGTGATCCTTTGATTTTTATTTCAGGGTTGACATGTGTTTTTACAAGACTAGACCAGATGTCTTTATGAAGTAATAGTGATTGCAAAGGTGCTGTAGTGGCCTTCACAGCCAGAGTCCTATGCCCATACATGTTTTCAGTTCATAATGCTGTATACAAGCAGATCACAGGTGTGTGTATGTATTTGTGTTCATGTTTACCTGAGCTGTGGCCTATAGCTCTTGCCCTGGGAGTGCTGGCTGACTAACAGGCTGACTCTCTGGAAGGAAGGAGTTTCATTTTGCACTACTAAGGCTGCCAGTCCTGCCACCCATGACTGGTGAAAGGACAGTGAATTATCAGTGGTGCTGGGGTTTTCAGCTTCAAGGCAAAGAACGGAGACACTAGCCTCAGGATGGGAGAGACTGTAGGAATACTATGGTCTGATGCCTGTAAAGTCTGTCATTTCTGTTTTTCTGGGTCTCAGCTGTGTTTCTGGGTCTTGGCCAAATGCACCAAAGAGTGACCTAAGAAAACTTATTTCTTTGTTTTCACTTTTTTCCTAAGTTCAAAAATTATAGAACAGTTAGTTACAATAATGAAGAATGCAATGATCCAGAGCCAAGAAAACTGAGGTGCCTTGATCTATAAAGAACACTGCATTGCTTCACAAAAGACCAGCTGTGAGTGGAACATTTAGGTAATTTTACAGTAACTTACTTATGGCTTCTCAAGAAAAAAAGAAGGCTAATTTATTTATGGTCCCTTTGGAAAAAAACAGCAGCAACTGTAGTAGAACACAGAAAAATAAATCAGAAGAAAATATTGATTACAACAAGGACTTTTGTTATTTCTAACAAGCGACAGTTTTCCTGTTCCTTCATTTCTGTTCCTCAATGATATAGGAAAATAGTAATGTAATACTACTAATAATCTAATGTCTTCAATGTAATAGGAAAAAGAGCGAGCACCCATTTACATGAGGTAAATACACTGTTAAGAGAATAAAGAATGTAATTTGTTGCTACAAAAGTTTGTTTTGCAAAGCTGTTAAAAAATCAGAGATGGCACAAAATTTATTTGTGAGATGCAATACTGAAAAATTGATAATAAAATGACAATTTTTCACAATTAAATTACTTTTATGTTATTACAGAGAACAGGAAGTGGCAATAATATACTTCATATCTTTTGACTTGTTACCATTGTTAAATATAACATTACCCAATACTTTTACCCTTAGGCTGGTCTCTCCAATAGTGTCTGCACTGCACACACTTGAACCCACTGTTTGATTAACCCCCCACACTGACCATTCATGCATGCTTGTGTGGAGGCTGATTTTTTTTTTAATTTTTTTTTTTTTAAGAAGAGAAACCAAAGTGCACTTACCAGTCTAGAAAATTCTGGGGGTCCAGGAAAGCTGACACACAACCTCCTTTGGTTTCCTCTGCACTTTTGTAACAACAGCTACTATAAACTGCAGTAGGAAACATTTATGTCTGGGCTGGAAAGGTCTTTTCATGGTGTTGGTGACATTTTGCATGAAATCCTGACATGTACCTGGACAATTCAGCACTAAGTACTAATAGGTGCTCTTATGAAAAACACCATGTTTTTCTCATTGTCAGTGAAGAAGACAAAAAGGAGACAAGAAACAAGATCAACTAAAAAAAAGCAAAACTAAACCAACCCAACCAAAAAAAAGAACCAACCCCAAAACAATCAGGAAAGGGATGAAAATGGAAGGGAAAAAAGCAGAAGGGAAGAAAATGAAATATAGGGCAGACAACAGCAATACTTCAAGGTACAAAGGGAAATGAGATGGAAATGAGATGGAAATGGAAATGCACAAGACTAATAAATAAAAAGCAGAAGATTGGCTTAACCAAAACTAAGGAAAAAAGGTGTCTCTGCCCAATACTGTTTACATTTTATTATCCTTTGTAAATACTTATTTATAAAGATTGTAGCTGAACTGCCTTACTGTGGTCCTGTGGTCACAATGTCACATGAAGACAGACATGCATAAAAGTTCACAAAAAGCCCCTAACAGCTCTAGGTCAGTTTTGAAACCACAACAATGGGGGCTGGAGTAATAGAGCAGTGAAGAGTTCTCAGGAATAGAATGCTAAGTGAAGAGGCTCCAGGAACAGAATACTATAAATCCTTATTTAGTTAACAACCAATTTTTCAAAGAGGCTCAAGCAGACACTGTAACAGAATACAAATTAAATAGCAACTTGTTAGCTGTTAGAAGGAAAATGTAACTTAGAATTACCTTTGATGACTGTAATACTCAGAGACATCTCCCCCCCACCCCACACTTCCTCCCCCAGAAAATTTAAATTTGTCTGTGTAAATGATAATATAATGCACTGCACCCAGACTTGCACATGTGCATTAGGAATTTTGTCATAGGCATCAGTAATTAAGCATGAGTGACTATTAGTCAGTATTTATATGACTCTTCCCTTGACACCTTTTTGAATAAAAGACTGTACTTGTTTCCTAGAAATTGTGCCAGGGCTCTGTGAGTTACAGGAGCTGCTGTTCCGTGTACATGGAAAAACTGCTGGATTATGCCAGAAAGTCAAGATGACCTAAAGAGATCAGTAGAGGAACAAAGAAACAAGGACCCCAGCCAATAGGTTCTAAGGGGCCCATCTTAAATCAAGAAGGTAAACAAGATGGTGAACTGCTTTGGCTCAGAAATGGTGTTCTTAGAGAAAAAGTAAATCTGGAAGTGCAAGCTCATGACCAGGGACTCAAGAAACCCACTGACTCAAAAGATGAGCAGTTATGCACACACAGACCTTGTTAGCAAATATGATGCCAGTCAATTATGAGTAAAAATGAGTGTGTATTAGAGAGAGAGGCAAATGGACACATTCCAAGATGGCTTTGTGGAATTAATACCTAGCACCCAAACAGGAAATAAACCAAATATCTTGGCTCTGGGCCAGATACTGGCTTTACACTGCAGGTACTGAATCCTGTTTGAGGAACACCACCAGCTGTGTTGATGGAGATAAGAAACAGATGTATGGGTGTGTTTTTGGGAAAAGGAGAACAGCTTGACCTAAAAAACACGGAATGCAATAAAGGAAAACTAAGACAATGAGATAAAAGGAAAGAGACTGATTATGATGCTGACATCTCAAGAGACAGAAATAATTAACCATTTGCCCAGAGAGTTACAGGTCTTGCCTTATTGTTGTAAAATGTGAATTATGTAAAAATTCGCTTAAGAAAGGATGTTATTTGATATTTGATATTTATATATTTTCAAGCCTAATTAACAAGAGAGAAGATACAACCCACAAAGCAGGTAGCAGCTAACAAGCAAGCTGTAAGTGATGCCCAGGTGTTAAAGACAAAGTACTTGTTGGCCTCCTTAAAGTTCAGGGCTTGACGTGCTTGATCTCGGGCCTAGTGGGAAGTTTGCAAAGTTTGGGAAGAATGTACTACTGACAGAGGACACAAAGAGTGCAGGGTTTATAGGCCATAAGGACATCTGGAAGAACTCCCATGATAAGGAAGAAACTAATAAAGAACTCAGCAACTGTGCTGAAATTGGCTCTGACTGGATAAAGGTAATTCTGACACAGGCAGATCTCAACCACCGAGTCAAGAAACCCACCAACCCAAAAGAAGTGAAAGAGTGGGCATATGGACTAATTACCATGAGAAGCAACCTCCAAAGCATACTGGATTTTTCTTACTTTTCTTATTTTTCTTATTTTTCTTATTTGTCACCCTTTGTTAAATGACACCTCTCACAGTATAAAATATATGATAGCTGAAGAACTACACTATTACAAATATTAAGAAATTAGGACAAGACGAAAAAAATAGTAGTTTCTATAACTGAGAGCACTTAATTTAAAGAATCTTCTCCTTTTGGCTTTTTATTCTTAAGATGTGACATGAACCAGGATTGACAAGTAAAGGAATACTTCTATGAGGATAGTAAACACTGGGGTTATCAGGGTGAGGTTTACTTTCACTGTCCCTATCTCTCTGTCTTAAGTCATTTTGACTAATGTTGCTAGAGCCTGTACTGCCCTCCCCAGCTTACCTAACTACCAGAATGCTACTGCAATCAAGCTGCCCTTATTATGGTAAGGAATCAGTATCTCAGCATGATCTCACTCTGAATCACCCCTCACATCACAGCCCTTAATAGACTGCTGACCTGTGTGGATTACTAAGCAATTCCTATAAAATTAATACTGCTGGGAATATTATAATTTTATCATATTTTGTTCCAGTTGTGAAAAATAACTGTCTAGAGGACAATTACTCATGAAAGGTATGTCAACTGATGGTGCCAGAGAGGAACTCACTCTCGAGTAGCTCTTCAGCAAATATTGTGATAGTTACTTCCTCAAGATTTGAATCAAAATTTGCAGGTTTTTTGTTGTTAATTAGTACCTATAGCTAGGCAGTTATGATGAAGCAATTGCAAGGTGAAACTTGTAGGCATGGCTAATCCTTTGTTTTAAGGAAAAGGGAACACAATCCCAAAATAATTGGGCTGTCTGGATAAGAGCCCTTAGAGTGAAATCAGCAGGACTGAGCAGTAACTGGGGGAAAGGTAGTCCTGGCAGGGGATAGAAACCATCAACCCCTGTCCACCAAGTTAAAACAGACTGCCAAATGGAATGGGGAGAAGAAGTGCACATGTGGAATAATTAGCATGAGAAGCAAGAGACAGAACTGGCAAATAAGGGTCTGAGTACTAATTAATGAAAAAGCTATATCAATTGTAACCAATGAATGCTGATGGCTTTGTTTGCTAAAATGTGCAAATTTGATGGTGGTTGTTGGGATCGGCTGGAGAAATGCAGCATGCAATATGAGTGATCAGCAAATCTCAAACTTTATTGATAGGTACACATCTTTATGTCGGGGTTAATGAGGCTCATACATATTGCAAAGGCGAGCTCACTGTTGGTTAGGTACTTATCAGCCAGCTACGCCTGCTTCTGCATTCTTGGGGATATTTTATTGAAACTTTTCTTCATATTTCTGCCAAAGATGTTCTCCCCTATCCTGCTGTTGCACCAAGGGCACAATGTCCTTGCCTGTTATTGGACACTGACTACTGACTCCTATACTTGTCCCCTTCAAGCTTAACCAGCGGCATTATGTCGACGTGACCTCTCAGCTAACCAACTGTCCACAAGGCTCTCCACAGGTGATGAGCCAGACTTTGGTGAGTTGCCCCCCAACTTCCTACTTTGTACAGAATACAATAAAGAAATAGGAATTCCTCACCTTGGTGTGTCAAGTGCTGTCACACACCAACCAGGTGATAAGCCTGTGCTTGGGACAACACAGAATGTTCTTTTAAACCACACCCATTAAATATTTGCAACTGTGGGTGGCAACTGTCAAAATCACGTCAAGAACTTATTACTCAATTTGAGTATCAATTATTGCATTGCTGTTTCCAGTTCAATTTAATTTATTAGCATCCCAAAATCTCTGCTTTCAGTACATACAGAACAACTTAATGGTTTATTTAAGAAATGGAAATTAGTATAAGTAAAAACTTGCCCACTGTTAGAGACCGAATGCAATTATTTTTCTCGAACCAATGACTTTCACTTCGAAATTGAGACGATCTGTTTTCCAATATTGCCTCCGTTCATCATGGACTGGAAAGCAGCTTCAAGAGAAATAATGAAGTAAGTTTATGCCAAGCAAAACAAGCCAAGTAGCTTCCAAAAAAGAAACCAAAAATGGTAGAAGCAAATGTATTAAGCAGCTCCCAAAAAAGGTGACATACCACTTAGGACCGAATCATATTTATCCTTAATTATGTATTAAATTATTAAGGAGATGAAAAAAAAAAAAAAAAAGCTAGCCTGTAATAAACTGCTAAGGGCAGCTTTGTGTAACAATTTAAAAATAATTATTTGTAAGCAACAGTTTGATGCTACATAAGACATGACTGGACACCTCATAAATGCTGTGGGTCCCAAACATTTATGAAAGAAAATGTTTATAAATATTGTACAGTAGTGGGAGAAGCTGGTACAAAAGAATCTATCTCTGAGTAAACCAAGTATGAAAGTATGATATATGACTGATATATCTGACCAAGTTACTTCAAAATACATATGTATACCAGTAAGGAGGAATTAGCAATGACTAGAATAAATTGAAATCTAGGAGATTTAGTTATTACTTAATTCTACTAGTTTTCAATCTTGTGGGACTAATGGCTAAAGGGACTAATCACACTCTTCCCTCTTCCTTGAAGGGGACACATTTTTAATACACATCACAAGGTTCATATTACCAGACTCCCTTCACTTTTGTATTTCCTTTGTTACAGATACTTTGAACAGACTACAGAACATTTTGTTCTATTAAAAGAAATTAATTTTTACTTTCTTTAGTAAGATGCTTTGCCCTTTCTTCTGTATACTTTTAATTTTTTTTTTGTTAGCAAATATAATTACTTCTGTTAGATATTGTGTTTTTAAAGTATAAATTCAAGGATTTAAAAAACCATTTCCTTATACACAAGTTCAAAGAAAGGGGCAGCACTTGAAACCTCTAAGATTAGGATGATTATCACCAGCTGCTAAGATAGCAGTCTAAGAATAAATTCTCCTCAGTACTAAAACAACAGCAACAATAAAATCTAATTTTATATTAAATTCTTTTTAAATATACAATAATTCTCTTACAGAACATTTTAATAATAAGTGAAAAATTATTGTAACAAAAATAATGTTTTTGATAAAATACAAAAATCTAAACTGACAAATGGAACAAAGTTAACCTCTGTCATTGTATATAATCAGGTCATTATTCTTCAAAAATGATGTAAATATCTTACCACCCATGCTTGCTATGCCTTCTACCACAGTCTCTCTGACCTGCCAATGCAAACAAGAGGAGCATTTCACATTTCTTAGAAACATGCCAAGAAACTGCCATAGAAACCACCCAAATCTAAAGACTTCTCTGGCTACAGTGGACAGGGCTCTGTTTGGACCAGATTCTTTCATCAAGAGAGGCGTGAATATTTTCTGATAAATTTGCAGGTGGGTTAATTCTTCAATCAGATCCCTGCCCCTACCAAAATTTAATGTCTTGCTATTTTTCCTGGAAAATTACTGATCACTTGAAGAACCAAAAACTAATTCAGACAGACCTCACAGGGAAGGCACAGTTAAGCATATGCTCATTACAAAGTAATAAATGGTGATTATAAAGCTTGAAGTAAAATTTCCAACAAGATCCTCAAAAGCTTTCAGGACACTTAACTTAGCAGGTATTTGAAAGTACTTTTTAAAAATATTTTTGGAATTCTGAATCTTTAAGTAAAAAAGCACTTCCACCCTATGCTGAAATAAAGAACACAGACACGAGCAGTATGTAATCAGAGAAGTCAGTCATACTACAGTCAGACCATTCTCAGCAAGTACCTTTTAAAAAACAGTGCTACCTAATAAGCTTTCAATTATACTTACACATTTTTTAAAGGTCTGTTCAATCCTGAGGCACAGTAAGAGAGCCAGAGACAAAGAAATTAGTCCTGTTGTAGTAGGAGATAGTATCAAAGGCCATAGACTAAACCTAGAAGTTCTCACCTTCAGTTTACCCTCTTGGATCCACTGGCAGAGTTGTAATACACTAGCTTCTTGTTTGTCCATGTAGTTCAACACCAAGAATCTTTCCCTGTGAAAGAAAAGAATGAGCTTTAGTTTAAGAGGCTTTGATCAATGTCCTTGAAAATCTTTTCAAAAAACAGCCTTGATGAAACTGAAGGGTTATGAGCACAAATTATAAAGAAATGTAGCTCAGGGCCTTGCTAGTTTGTTGTGACAACTTCCTGCAGTGGGAGCTTGACAGTAACATCAGTCTTAGGAAGATTTCTTCAAGTATCAGATAGAAGAGTAATAAAAATCAAGTAGTAAAGTAGTATCACCAGAACAAGTAAATATCCATAAAATGTGAGCAAATTACTATTCTTTTTTACATTTTCTTTTTCTTTTTTTCAGTGGTAGGGAGAATAATTAGTGAACCCGCAACCAGATGGTGAGACTAACTTAACTTTCAGGTTCCCTACAATTGTGCATATCCTGCTGTCATGGCTTTCCATAGCAATTGAGAAATGGAAATTATCATAAAAAATGATAATTACTTGTAGGGACATACTGACTAAATTTTCCACTGCACTCTACTACGCATGGTGTATTTTACTAATTTTATCTATTGTTTTACAAGGGCAGACAACTGTAACAGGGACAAGGAAAGATTTTAATTAGGAGAGATGAATTGATTTGCACAGAAATCAAGTCTCCCAAATGTCCTGCAATGCAATGACTGAAAAAATCCAAGACTCTCCTCCTAATCTCTGCCTTAGCTCCATCTGAACCCTAAGAGTAAATTCAGCAATTCCCAGAGTCAGAACACAATAAAAATGTTCTACCCATATATATCTGTCACACCTACAGTTCCATTATCTAATAAACCCCCAAATACTAAAAATGTAACTTCAGTAAAATCACTCCATCAGCTGCATCCTTATGCCTGAACTACAACATTTTGAGAGAAGGCACTTTGCAAAACTTCTGAGAACAGAACTACGGCAACACCTTCCCTTGTCCTAAAGAATTGTCAGGGATTAAAGGACTGAATCAAGCAACCTCAAACAAAATGTAAAAAAATTATATCTATGATTCTATATAAAAACATCCTTTCCCATTTTTTATGCTGATAAAGACAAATGTAAGAGAAAAGATCTAATGATACCATGATCATATTTTCCTTTTTAGGCACGGCAACATTCTGTTCCAATTACAAGTAGCTACTGCAGATTACAGACTACTGCCCAAACACCATATGAACCATCTACCTGGAACCTGGTCACATGTTCTGGAGGAGAACTGTACCTTGTGATGTTCCTTTCTTTCTGTATTTTTTCTGTGTCAGGAGGCAGTGGAGGGGGATAAGGGACATCTTTGTTATACTGAGAAATCTGTCCACACAGGATGATATGACTGTTCTGATTCATCTGTTTGGGACAGCATAAAGTGAGAAAAATGGCATTCCTCAGTCTCAGAAACTAAATTTTTCAGATGCAATAGATGTTATTGCAAAATTTTCATTAGCCACATTTCCTGTAAGAGTGGGAGAGTTGCATGCAGTCCCATAGAATCTATGACAACATTAAAATAGGTAAAAATGCAAGGTAATAGTGGGTAAATAACTGCTATTCAGGCTAGTGTAATTTTAAAAGGCAGAAAATAGAAGGAATATAGGAAATTATTATCTTGCTGTGGGCCCCCAGAATCAGCACCTGAAGTCGATTACTGAAGTGGAAAGCTGTGCTGTATTACAGGCTGGACTCCAGTATGAGTTCATTGAAAGCTGGGCATGCAGACACTGGAGAATGACTAGAATAAACCTGACAGCTGGAATAATCACCTGACTTATAACTGTATCACTGATGTCACCACCAACATTGTCAAAGTAAACATCCACACCACCTGGGCAGAGTTCACGTAGCCGTTTTGCCACATCCCCCTTCTTGTAATTGATAGCAGCATCAAACCCCATTTCTTGGACCAATATGGAGCACTTTTCATCTGTGCCAGCAATCCCCACGACTCTAGAGCAGCCCTCCAGACGGCCAATCTGCAGGCACACAGTTAAAAAAACCAAAACAAACAAACCAAACAAAAACCCCAAACACAAATTAGATCATCCATCTGCATAAATGTACCAGTGGAAGAAAGGGGGTCCTAAGGGGTGTTACAGTTATTCCCATCCCACTAAACCCCAGGCAGCAAACACTCCCATCTCATGTGACACAACCACTTCTTTGCATTCCCTCCTCACAACTACACACAGGGCACAATCAAAATTTACCATCTTTTCAAACCCACTGAGTGCAGACTATGTTTGTGGAATCAACAATGACTGCCAGTACTGGAGAACCAAACATAGTAGAAAATGACCATCTGCCGAGTACCATAACATAACTAATAAAAGGAAAAAAAATTAGACAATAATTGATTTAAATACAACCTTCACAGATTTGCTCATGCACTGTTTCTTCATAGCTTCTCTTTATTAGTAGGTCTAAAGTTTGCTTAATATCAATTTTGTTTGTGTATAAATATATATCTAGAGAGATATTTGTAGATAAGCATATACACACCACAAACAGGTTCCGCAAAGCAGAGGAGGATAAAAGGACTGTAAATCTCAAAACACAAAGGATGTCATGGAACACAGCACAAAGGGTTTACCACATTACTATTTTCTAATAGAGAAAAAAAATGGAAGTCCCAAGTCAATACAGCGTTGGGATGGCAGGCTACCATATAAATGTATAATAAATACATATATATATACACTATCTATTTTACTTGTGCTAGCAACAAGTAATCACCACCATCTGTGTTCTCCTCTCCCTATTTCATGAAACTTGATTTTCACACTGCGAGCGTGTGCCAAATCTGTGAAACTGGCCGTTCCCACAGGATGATATCTGCTCACGTTTACAAAGATTTTATCTGTATATTTAATAAGCAGCATGTTTCAGAAGAGCAAACTTGGTTTGCATGCGCTAAGCCTGCACCCACCTGGCCGGCCAAAGAGCCGCAGGCCCCGGCCGCCCCGCTCACCACCATGGTCTGATTTGCACCCGCGGCCACATGTCCCTTCTCCCTGATTCCCAACAGCGCCGTCAGTCCCGTGATGCCTGCGGCACCCAGAAAGTAGGAAAGGCGTCCATTTACAAGCTGTGGCTCCAGCTAGGGAACAGAAAGTAGGTAGGAGGTCATTTGTTTCTAAGGTGAGGTTCTGCTCTTAAGATTGCCTGAGGGTAGAAAACGAATTCAGGATATTTACCAGGCAAGGTAAAACTGGTAGGGATGAGCTATCTCTAAGCAAGTCTGTACAAAAATGTTATGTCTCTGTGGTTTTAGAAAAAGTTTTTAAGCAAAGTAACTCATAAAAACTTAAATTATGGAACTGTTAAAAAACAGTTGGGAGATATGAAGTTTCCAACAATGGTGAACTATCCCCATGCTAGCATAAAAGGATAAAAATGCACCATTTTATCAAATATGGTGTTTGCAGATCAGTAACAGAGGGTCCTAGAGGAAGGAGTTTATAGGAAAGTATAAATTCTCAAACTACAGTAATTTTCTGTTATGAGAGAACAATCAACCCCATATCCCTAACACACTGAAACCTCTCCACTTCCAAATTAATACTGAACACCCTTTCTTATGTGAATGTAAAACCTGAGGTAAAAGCTTTTACTAACATAAGTTAGAAAAATAGATTAAATACACCTAAAGTCTTTCATGTGTTAGTTACACTCTCATGAAGAAGTTCTATTAGAATTAAAATAATTAAGAGAATTATTTATTGGAGTAGCTTCAGGGATTTTTTTTAAACAACAATTAAAATAATACTGGCCTTAATATATTAAGGTTAATATATTAACCAGCAAAATTGTTATTAAAAAAATATATAAATCTTGGCACCTATGCCTTTTGAGAACTGATTGCTTCAATAAGTATGTTTCTTTTGCACAAAAAAAATAGCGTCATTAGCAGCTATTTAGGGGAAAAAAATAGAAGTTTGGGGTGGAAAAAAGGATTTAGGAAAAAACGAGTCACACACAACCTGGGCTTTGCATTTCTATTACCTTTTGCAGCGAGTCTCCATCAAGAATTGCTGCTGTCTGCCAGGGCCAAGTGAAGGAGGTTACAAAGTCTCCTTTAGCAAGGTTATGGTGCTGGCTCTCCTCCACCACCCCGATGCCCCCACCGTCAGCAACTTCAGACAGCTGCCAGGGCCGCAGGTAATCTGAGCCCGTGTCCTCATTCATTCGGCAGCGCTGAAAGACAAGGCTCTAATGAAAGGCTCTGGTGGAACACAGCTGGTCTACCAGTTCAGGCTGGGTGGGGGACAAAGATGGGTTCTGAACTTCAAACACAAAGGGCTACTCAAAAATGTCTCAATAAGCCCCAAGTATTCATAATCTTTTCTTAGATCCCTCTTTCCCCTTGTTTGCTCACTACAAAAGGAGTGGACCATCCTGACCTCCATCAGTGTTACCAAAGCCAACACATTCTGCAGATGGTGGCTCAAAAGCACCAGCACAACTGACAATGACTGGCTTGGGTCTGATGAGAACCCTACAAATGCCATTCCTGAACTGAAGGAATCCTAGAAATGCAGGACTGAAAAAGAATGCCCACAAGTCATTTAGTCTACGCCTGTGCACTGAAGAGCAGTCAAATACATGTAGACCATCCCGACAGAGATCTGTTTAATGAAACATCTTGAAATGGGACACATTTTCTTTCCAGTTTCCCATGTAGCTACAGCCAATATTTCAAGATTCTTAAACTTTTTCTTAATTCTCAAGCTAAATGTACTTTCTTGAAATCTAGACTGGTTTTTTTTCTACTATTACCATCTATAGAGGGAATAAATCATCAGAATTCTCTTTATAGCAGGCTTTTACAGACTGTATCTGTCTGGTTCTTCTTCTACCTTCACTTCCATTTCAACCCACAATTCTCCCAACCACATGATTTCTGTAAATTTGCATGACTGGAAAAAAAAAGAATATAAAAAAGGCTCAGTTCAGAAAAAACTGATACAAACAAATCTGTAATGGCTTACAGTCTCTTCCTGGTCCAATGAAGTCATATTCCTATATATATATATATATCCCAAACATATTAATGCCAAATTCCTTCCCAATATAACTCCGTCAGAATGAATACAATTACTATGTTACACTAGATATATATTTGTTCTGTAATTGGTAACTTTGGTGTTAAACCTCATGACAGGTAAAGAGTTGAAAGTACTTAAAAGAACAATTTCTGGCTTAGCTCTGAGTCCATCACCTACCATGTAGGGGTCCACTGAGAGATAGAGAGTTTTAACACGCACTTGTCCCGCTTGGACTGTGTCTGCTATTGTACTTTGCTCCAGTCGGAAGTTTTCAGCCACTGGCACTCCATTCTTACCTAGAGTTATATTAGAATTTAACAAATAAATCAATCAATGTAGAACTTTCCTTAACCAACAGAGGAAGGCCTTTTTTTAAGGTAGCCCTTTTTAGGATAAATTAGGTTGAATATTTACTCAGGTGTAAAACTGGAACCAACTACTCTCACCCTTCTGCCTCTTCTGACTCAAGTGAGACTGAGGGAATACAGACTGAAGCCACTACACATGCACATTCTGCAAGGGCATCCCTTCACAGAGTCTTCCTTACATTAAAGCTTCCCAGAAACATCCATAAAATTGTGGCAAGGACCCCAGAACTGGAGGCTTTATCCTCAGGTTGGTACCACATGCAGCAGGTCAATCAGACAACTGGAACCACCAGCGCTGAGACAGACAGACAGCCTTGCCTGTTTCAGGTCAGAGTGACTGCACAGCTAGAGCAGTCACTGCTGCACCATTCGAAAGACATAACTGCAGGTCACACAATAGCTCTTAATACTTAAAACTATTTTAGCATTAAGCAGCATACAATACTCCCTCCAAAACTTAATGTCTTCTACACCAGATTTATGAACTCACTACTCAAAATACTGTGCTGATCCATAACAAGGCAAATGTTCAAACAAGAGAGTAAACAAAACCTCAGCAGTGTAAACTTAAACACCAAACCCTTTGAAACATGAGAGGAGCAAAAGATTCAATATTTACTACAAGGAAAGAAAAATTAATGTTAACCAAATATTTTAGACATCTCTTACAATGCAAAAAGAATAAATGTGAGAACTAAAAAGTCATGTGCCCTAATCTTTCTTCACTTTCAGCCTCCACACTTACAGTTTCCTCATATATTACATGTTAACCCTTTTTTTCTCTCACAACAGTTTAGAAATCTACAGACTAAACAAATACCATTTGAATATATGTTACATTTTCAGTAGAAATGTATCTATACTAACACAATTTACATTTATTAATAAATGCAAATTTATTACAAATATATGTATTTATATTAATGGAAATCAATACATTTATATATAAATAAATGCACTTTAAATAAACTTTATTGCTGCATACAGTATTAAGATATATAAATGTCAATATCTCAAATTAGTGTCTGTTTCTACCCTCACCATTCTGGAGCATTAGGCAATCAGAACAAACACATTGCATTAGTAGTGGCGAGAAATACATACCAGGCCGTGAATTCAGCACTACTCTTTGTATAATCATCTCTGTTTTTGCAGCAATTTCACACTGGATTTCTACAAAAGAAAATGTTGTTTGAAGGCCTGAAATATATATTTTTTTTTAAAAAAAGAATATGAGGCCAAGTACTCAGTAATTTGGAAACTGGGGATGAAATACAGACCTCCCCAACTTCAGGATCCACGCCCAAGGAAGATATAAAGAATCATATAAACCAACCTCAAGCATAACATAAACAAACATGTGAATAAGGAGTTTCCCTGTTTATCTTATTAAAGCTCTGATTTATACAATGTCACAGTAGCAAGTATTGGAAAGAAGGAAAACTGTAATGCACCATGTTCCTTCTAGGGCCATCACCAGCCCCTACCAGGCAGAAGGAGAGGTGTCTGATTAGCTTTCCTGTGCTGAGTGAGAACAGCCCTCTGTTCCCACCGATCAGACACAGAGGCACCTTTGCACACAAAGTCAGGCGCCACTCAATAAAAGGCAGGAGGCACAGCAGAATAGCAGTCTGCAGGTACATGATAAAAAGATATTGTTGTGTAAGATGTTTTGTAAGAAAAGGTAATTCTTTCTATTAGCAGTGCTCCAAGGTGAGAAAGAATGAGATCATCACTCAATCTGTTCTACAGAAAGATTTGTCCCTGAATTTCAGCAGTTTTAGAAGATGATTGCAAATCTGTGATTTTGCACCTGTAAGACCCAAAGTTATTAAGTAACTACCCTGATTTAACAGGAGAAAAAACATGATCTCACATGCTTTCAGATCTAATACAAAATAAAAATGTGACTACTATTTTCAGCCAAGAGCCATCAATAACCAACCTCCATACGAACAAAGGACATTAAAGAATGAAACATGATAGGCAACATCTTTGTCATAATGTTTACTTTGCTGACAAGAACAGCAAATTGGAGTAAATCTAAAAGATGAGCCTAGAAAGAGTACATCATCACCACTTATCCGACATCTTTGTTCTTTGAACACTGCAAAATACAGAACCTTCTGTCTGTACTGCTACAGTGCTCACACAACAGCACTCACAAACCATCAAGAACTACAGTCTGGAATGCTACAAAACAATTAAAAAGTTATTAGGAGAAAAGGTGCATCTCCCTGGCCATCCCTCCCCTCTAAAACACACAGCTGACTCAAAACACAAGTATCTTGTTAAAGAAACAGATCAAGCTTTAACATTTTATTGTGTTTGCACTTGAAAAGCTACTTATTTGGGAAAAGTTACTAAAAAGTGAATTTCTTTCCAGTATTTCAACACCTAAGGATGCTACAAGGAATGAATCGCAAATGTGTCTTTACAGCATCACAAAATGTTGAAAAACAAGCGACCTGCAGAGTTCTCTGGACAAAACAGTGTAAAACAATAGTCTACAACAAAAGGAAAAACCTCACACCTTGATGAAATTACTACTTACTGTTTATAAACAAAAATGAGCATTGAAAATTAAGGACTTACAAACTGAAAAGTGAAAGAGAAATCCATCTTTATACCCACACAGCTGATATAATCTCTAGAACACGAATAATGTAAAACTCTAACAGGAAGGATGGATTAAGAGAAAGTTTGGTAGGCTCAGCTATAGACTTCCTGTGTGATCGTGGGCCCATCTCTGTATTTATTTTACAGAATATTTTTCAGAAAAAAACTCCAAATTCTTCCTGATAACATCTGCCCAAAAAATTACATTCAAGTAGCACAACTATTATTCCCAGAGCAACTGATTTAGCATCTGAGAATTTCTGCTAATACAAGGAGCATTTCATAAACTGTCATATGTGCCCAGTGCAGTTTAAAAGGACAAGCCCACTCTAGTAAATGATTTGCACACATTTGCAACTCAGCTGAAGTTTATAACCACTGATCAAACTGCTCTGTGCACAAATAATGAGTTAAGAATGCAGTGAATATAAGGCAACAGCATCTGACATGAAATCTGGGCACATCACTCCTCAATATATAGTATCCACACCCGTGGCTGAGGGTTTGAGCCTCTGTTTTTAAACCACACAGAGCAGGCAGAATTGCTGTACAGCTCACGCCTTACATAGCAGTCCACTGTCAAAACTCCATTTTTGTTAGCCTAAAACTAAATATGTGTATTATGCAAACACAAAACCCAATCTGAACAAGAGAGGATGAAGATAATTTTTATTGTGACTAACATACTCCTGAAATATCTGCTTTCTATGATTATACAGAGGGGGGAAAACCCAGTTATATAAAGAAAAAAAATCCAAGATATTAACATACTAAAAGGAAGACAAAGCAATACAGAGCAGCATAGTTAGATGAGAGTAGAAAAATTATCCAATGTAAGTTTAGACTATTTCTCTGAATGCCTGACATTTTGAAGGAACAAAAACACTTTTTATTTCCCAATTTGTTTTCACAGCTTTTGTTTGAGGAGCCTGTGTACTGATTCAATTTGAAGATCTTCCAGATACTACGAGTGGGTGGACAAAAAGTGAAACTGGCAACTGAATTGTCTCCAATTCTGTGACAGCTGCCACAGCACACAACACTGCAGAAGGACATTCACTTCTAAACAGGACTGCACCTACAGTGGAAGTCAGCAGCACCATTACACAAGCAAATGGTCACAGTAACACCATAACACAATAAGAATCAAACTTTCCTCACATTGAAAACAATACAGAGGTGGCTAAAGAAAATAAGTAGAGGCACCATCTTTTAGCACTGTACAGCGAAGGAAACTTTTGGAAAAAGAGAACAGATTTTCTATAAAAACTGAAATAAAGGCGATTTGTATCATATACACAACTCTTTTCAACACACACATAGCACCACTGTGCACAATGTTTTTGACTATTTTTTAAAAAGACAACACAATCATTATATTTTAGCTTGTCCAGAAAAAAATCAATCTGAGTTGGTTTAACTCCTTAAATCAAATAGAGTAAAAATTCCAAGTTTTAACATCATTGTGCTATGCCAATCACCTGATCCACCCTATGAGTAGATCAGGAGCATTAACCAGTGCAACAGCAGCATCTTCAGGGGAGTCTCAAACATGTTTCAGCCCAGTTTTACTTCTCCCCTTGCCTTTCTTTCCCCACTGTTTCAGAGACACATGACAACTCCTTTCAAAAAGTTAAATAAATTCCTCAGTGCTAAAATGCTCCAGTTTGTTTGCCCTGGGCTTGGTTCCCAGAACTTCTTGTTTCTGTGACTGCCTATACTCTTTGCCAAAACAAGTCACCTGCTTCCAAGTTATTACAGCCCATGCCAGATGCAGTTCAGTGAGAAAGCAAAAGGAAGAACAGGTAGTCCTGTATCAGGCCCCGGCAACAAGGAGGAAGGCGGCAGGCATCTAAACAGAGAAAACGATCTGGAAGTCCTCTGAAACTGTGATGTCAAAATGGCTGGAGCAAGGATCCTCAAAGGAAACTCAAGGAAAGAAATTTCAAGAATGACTCTGAATGAGGAACATGAAGGAAGAAAAGAGGGGAAGAGCTGGGACTAGGAATCATAGGAATCAGTAAGAACAGAGGAACGTGACAAGAACAACAACTTAATGGCCAGTGAAACAGAGAAGGGCAAAATAGAATGGGGAGAGAGAAGTGAATCAAGTGGGAACAATGAATGAGACAACCAAGCAAACTGAGGTGGGAATGACTGGCTAAAAAACAAGAAGAGACAACTGTAACTGGCAAGGTGAGGTAAATGGAAATGGAAAAGTAAATGTAATGGATTAAGTATCAAAGTTTCCACCAGCTCCATTAAGGAAACCTACATTTGATGAATGCTAATTAATGGTAAGCCAGAATCAATACCAACTGTCATGAATGGAGAAAAATACATGCCATAAAAAGCTAAGTACTTTTATGAATTGAACCAATAAACTTAGATTTCCTAATGTTATATGTTTCATCATTGAATTTTCTGATGAGAAGTCTCTCTCATAGTGTTTTCTACATGTGGTTTTTCTGACACAGTATAAGTGTTGAGGGCAGGCTCCAATCTTTCCTCCAAGAAGCAGATGAGAAAGAAAGACAATAGTATTAGGATCTTGATCCAGGCATCTCTTTTTTTATATATCCCCAAGAAGCCTAATATCTTTCAGCTTTTTATCAGATTTCACTGACCTACAAATCAAAAGTTCCAGTAAGCATACTCATTAATATCTACATATAGATAAAGATATACAATAGGACTGTATAAACTTTACTTTTTCAGATTCAGGTGCAAAAAAAAACCCTAAAAGCTTTTAGGTACCACATCTTGAACTTTTTTTTTTTTTCCCACAAAGTAGTTGCACTGTGTTAGAGTTGCTGAAAACTGTTTAAAATACCATATCTGTATATGGTCTATATACAAAAGGCCTATTCCTTCTTGGCAAGATTTCACGTAAGGAATGCAGATTGCTCCCAGGACGGCAGGAGCATCACCCGATGGGTTTTTTGAGAAGGCGATAATGCAGTTTGCAGGCTCCCACGTGAGAGCCCCTCAGAGAGCCTAGTGACTACCCAGGCTGTCAGGTACGCCCAAAGACCAAGGCAGAAAGCAGCGCTGCCAGAGGTGGAAGAGCCCTGGAGAGAGCCCTGCAGACGTGTCATCACCAGATTCGGAAGCCGCAGACAGAGCAGCCCAGGAGAGAACCCAGCGAGGCAGCACAGGGAGCTCAGTCCTATAAGGCAGCTCAGTCCTACAGGCTGGTCCGGGGCTGCGGGGGGCTCCGCTCCCCAGGAACGCCTCCACCGCCCCGGGACGCGCTGGGATCAGGGGGCTCAGTAAAGGCCGATTCCAGCTCGCGTTCCAGGGACCGGGCAATGCTAGCAGCCTCTCCCAACCTCTTCCGCACCTGTGCTCCCACCTGCCCCGCAGCGAGAAGGTGCCAATGTCTGAGGATACGGCTCCTGGGAAGGCGAGTACGAGCTCTACCAAGCACTCGCCCCGCAGGCCGAACTGCGGCTCGCCCCCGGCACCGCTGCACGCCCTCAGCGCCCGCAGCCCCCGCTCACCTTGAGCCGACCCGAGCGCCCCAGAGACCGCCCGGCCCGGCCCGGCCCCGCGCGCACGCGCGCCGACCTTAAACAGGGAAACGCCGGGGAGGCCCAGCCTTAAAGCGGCGATGGCCCGGCCCGGCTATGGCAGTGTGAGGCGCTGTGGTGGGATGTCCCCCGAATGGCACAATCACACAGAATCATTAAGGTTGGAAAAGGCCTCCAAGAGCATCGAGACCAACCTTTCACTGAACACCCTGTCTACTAGACAGGACACTAAGTGCCACATACGGCTCATTGAACGCCTTCAGGGAATGTAAGTCCACCCTTTCCCCAGGCAGCCAGATTCCAGTTAATGTTTAATAAACCATTCAGTGAAGAAATTCTTCATAATGTCCAAACTGAACCTCCTCTGGCATAGCTTGAGGCCATCTCCTCTTGTCCTGTTTCTAGCTGCCTGGAAGAAGAGACCAATCCTCATGCAATTACCATCTCCTTCCAGGTAATTGTAGAGAGCAATAAAGTTCTCCACCCACCAAGCCTGCTTTTCCTCAGGATAAAATCCCCCAGCTCCCTCAGCCACTCATCACACCTGTGCTCCAGACCCTTCACCACCTCCATGGCCCTTCTCTGGATCTGTTCAAAGTTTTCTTTGTTGTGACGAGCATCTCAAAGTTTTCTTTGTTGTGACGAGCCCAAAACTGGGCGCAGCACTCAAGGTGCGGTATTGCCCGTGCTGAGCGCAGGGGGACAATCCCTGCCCTGCTCCTGCTGGCCACACTGCTGCTGATACACACCAGCATGCCCCTGGCCTCCCTGGCCAGCTGGGCACACAGTGGCTGGCGTTCCTTCCACTGCCAACCAGCATCCCCAGGTCCTTTCCCTCCAGGCAGCTTTCCAGTCACTCTTCCCCAGGCCTGTAGTGCTGCATGGGGTTGCTGTAATCCAAGTGCAGGATTCGACACTTGGCCTTTGTGAAAAGCGCGTGTTATATGGCTCTACACAGATATTTACTATTTTTTTGTATTGATTTGTAGTGCTGCATTAACATTTTAATAGTATGGCAAATGTAGTTTTGTAGTTAAAAGGTAACTTTTGTAGTTAAAATAGGAACTACATAAGCGGGATATTTTTTTAAGAAGGGAATGAAGTACTCGCACCAGATACCAGCTACAGGACACCTAAATCTTCCAGAGAAAAAGAATTTATTGTTCTCTTATCAGAAGAAACTAGCTTATTCCTGCCTTGCTCAGAACCGAAGACGCAGTTAGGATTAAGAGGAAGAAGCTGACGATGACCAGACCGAATCCTTTGTTTGAATGGAATTTATGCATCATGTATGAGATGTATGAATATTCGACGGGCTATTGCTTTTAAGGGTTAATCCTCTGTTAATGGATGCCCTTTATCATGCTTATGCTGCCCAGAAAAAGGTACTCGGATGTCCGTAACCCTTTGTTTCTATTATCTCATATTGTCCTAATTCAAATTGTCCAAATTATTATTACTCTGATTGTCTTACTATCTTTACAACCATTTTATTACTATTAAACTTTTAAAATTTTAAAAACAAGTTATTAGTGTTTTTCACAGCCTTGTTAAACTGAGGTGCTGGGAGAAGGCATTTACACTTCATGAGGGCACAGTTTCTTCGTGTAACACTGGGAGACTTTTGCTCCTCACATGTTCCAGTGGATGAGATTTTGTTCATTGCTGCGATACAGGGTTGTTTGATAGCTATTCCTAAAATTCCACTGAAGTTGCTGTTGTGCACAGTATAATGTATTTACTATATTTGTGCTATTTCTGTGCTTGAATGCAGATGAAGATGTTTTTTTCCTCAGAAAACATGTTGTAGCAAGACCCAAAGCTTTCCTGGGATGAGGCTTAGGTCGTGGTACTGCCTGACATGATTACTCTGTGTACTCACCCTGTGCTGTAGTGATTCACTGTGCTGTAAGGACAGACAGGTCTTCGAAGTGGCCACTGAGTTGGTGGCAATTACTGTGCAGCCTGAAGTGATTGCTTCAGCCTGGAAAAACTCTTCCAGACTGATGATGCTGATGACTTTGTACTCTGCCTCTCACATAAAGGCAGGCAAAACCTTTCTGCTGTAGCTTGACCCATAGCACTGTAATATCTTATATTTGTTCCACCATAATATACAAAACTTTGCATTTCACATTAGTTGAAATAACATCATTGGAACTGGAATAGTCTAGAGAGGGAAAAACTATGTATGTTAATAAGGGGATTTATACTTCCATATGTTTTTTTCCCCCAACTTGTATCATCTGACCTCATTACAGGTGCAGTGATTGCGGGTGTAATGCATTGAAAGCAAGTCATCAGGGTTGAAATCATCTTCAGTTTCAAATGGGCACATCTTGTGTGTAGGAGGCCTGTGTTCAAGAGAATGAGCACTGACTTGCCTCCTACTTGTGCAAGAAAAGAGCAGCACACTTACAAAAATAATTCATTTAGAAAACAATGTCACAGGTCACTACATGAGCAAATAGGAACATATTATGTAATGTATTACTAGAGAATTTCCTGTTCATTTAGAAGTTGTGTATCTCAATGACTAGTAATAATTAAAAGGAAAGTGAGGAAAGACAAAAATATGTTGTATATTGGCACATGTACAAATATTTTTATACCCGTATTATATAATGACAATACAACATCTGGTGTTTGATAAAAGTATGGAAAAAACCCCAAGGCCCTTAACCCAAACACATAAAATAGTATTTCAAAATCTCTGTACAACCCTGTTTTCTCTTGCTTGGCACAGGGTGGCTGTGTTTTCTCTACAAACAAGGTTATCCTGGAGGTAGTTGCAGCAATCATCTGTAGTCTGCTGTTTAACCTTTATGGTCATGCACACACACACACACACACACACACACACACACACACACACACACACACCCCTCATCGTCTCTTTTGTTAAGTACTTGTTAAGTGAAGGTGTTGTAAAATAAACTTAGGTGTGAATTTAAAGTTCAAAAGCTATTCTGCACTGACTTGGCTTGTGGACACTTCTTCTACTCTAAAAATGCTTTTTTTTTGGGTTTAGCTTGATTCACCTCAGACTCAACTAAGCTGCACAAAGTCACCCCACATGTGAAATAAAACCGTCTATGCAAGCTGGCCATTGTGGAATAGTTGTTACAGAAGAGATATTAACAGCTGCTACCACTTATAAACAAGTCTAAACGGACACTGATGTGATAATTTTACAGTCAGTCAGAGATGGGGCAGAGATTAAATGGAGGATGTGTTTGAGCTGGAAGATGGTTGTGGTGATGATGGACAACAAGTCACTACTGCCTACCCAAACAGGGAATGTCATTCAGGGGAGCCTTACATCACTGAACAGATCCTCAAGGTATCCTCTGATCAACTTCAGGCAAATTTGAGAAAGCAAAAACTTTTCTTAACCACCTGGTGAGATAAAAATATTCCCATTTGATCCTTTTAAAACAAAGCGGGGGGGTGGGGGGGGTGGGGGGATAAAAAGTCATTGGCTCCCAAAATCATGTGTAAGTTTGGACAAAGTGTAAAAGTGAAACAGCTGTCTTGTTAAGAGTGGTTAAAATCATATTGCCATCAATTTCAGTGCAGCCAAAGCTAATAGTTAAAATAGAACTCAAAGTCTGGAGGCTTTCATCTTTTTCCCTCTCCTTTAAGATTAACTGACTATGTCTAACTGACTCCAAACCACCTATTTGTTCATGTTCACCTGGTCTTAATATAGAAGCAACAAACTTACATATTCTGCCTCCACTGTGAGGTTTAGATGTTTTTAAAGTAAAAAGTAATCTAAATTCCAGGATTTGATGGGCTGATGGGTCATATTTATTAGTGT